TGTTAACAACAATTGGTCATTTCCCTCTTCCCTCACCAATGTCATCCCAGAATTGCTTAACCTACCTGCCCCAGTTACTTCTACAAGGGACACTAAGAAGTGGACAGCTTCCCCAAATGGACTATACTCATTCAGTCACACTGTATCATATTTGGTGGGGGACTTTCCTAATGCACCATGGCACAACTTAGTTTGGAATTCCCCATCCATCCTATGAATGAAGTTCATTATTTGGCTGGCAGTCCAATCAAAATTGCTAACTCTTGATAGCAAATTAATGTCTAAGCACATCAACATTTGCCCCCTTTGTAACATGTCTACTGAAACTCATGACCACATTTTTATAAATTGTTCATTTGTTTCCCCTCTGTGGCATTTTATTAAATACAAACTGAACATTCACACAAGCATCATGAGTTGGTATCCACTTATTCAGTGGGCAAGCAATCAATGGAGGGCAAACAACTCAGTTAATCTTCATAGAAAATTGGGGCTATCAGCTTTTGTGTATCATACCTGGGAGGAAAGGAACTTTAGAATATTCAGAGGGAAGAAAGCCTCTCAAAGAGTTGTGTGCGCGAAGATCTGTTCCACCATTTCTGCAATTCTGAAATTGGGATGCCTCCGTGATTCTTCATCATTGAGCTCTATTCTCGTGGACTGGAACATCTCTTCGTCTTACTGCAAACCCCCCTTCGCCCGCCAGACTAATCCTCAGCGGCTCGGTTGCAGCTCCAATGTCACCAGACTGAATTTTAGCCTCTGTCAAAGTTACTGCCGTTGCTGGTAATTATTTTTATTTGGAATGTATTTTCGTAGTTGGGCCGGTTATCAGACTTGTTTCAAGCCTTGTCTTGCTTCTTTTTTGGGCCCAAGGTTTTCTTTGTAAATATCATCTTTATCAATGAAAATTGCTTTAATTTTTGAAAAAAAAAAAAAAAAAAAAAGTCTTATGGGCAATATGGGCTTGCTGTTCAGGAGGCCAAGTTTTATTGATGGTACAATCTACGAGCAGGCCCGATTGCTGCTGGGTGTAGTAGTCCCGTTATGCATATTTCTAGACACACTTTTTAGTATAACAGAATCATGATCAACAAAATTTTCTCTGTTTAAGTTTCGAAGGTAAGGGTATGGAAAAAGGCTTTCCTTTTGAAATTTATGTTATGGGATGGACAAATGATAATACCACATTCTATATATAAATTGCCACAATTCTGCAATTTTATGTTATGGGGATGGACAAAATCATGATCAACACATTATTATTTGCCCTTAAATCCAAAGAAGAAAATAGCTCAAATTGAAATAAATTGATGCGAGTTGAATGATGGTTTTATTTAATTGTTTATAAAAAATTAAAAAAAAAAACAATATTGATAACAAAAAGAGTGAAGAGAAGATCACTATATTAGGACATAGCTTGATCAAACTGAAGAAAGACCATAAAAGCAAAATTTGAAGGTCAGTTTAATTGAAGGAAAGTATTCATGATATTGAGAGTGAGGTTGAGGGTGTTGGTTGGTGGTGTTGGATAATCGAAGGGGGTAATTTCATCCTTATTCAATTACAATGTTTTAGACTAAAAGACATTTAAAAAATGAGGGTAAAAATATCGTATCATACCCATTTTTGACGATGTCAGTGACGTAAAAGTCATTTGGGGTTTGAGTGATAGTAATTTTCAAAAGGTATTTTAATGTAATATTTGACCAAACCTGAGAGGGTGTAGTGAAATTAACCCAGAAAACAAAGAATTGTATATGGGACTGGGCCAGGCCCAGAACAAGGCCCAGAGACAGAAACAACTAACCCTAAGGCAAGAACACACTCGATAAACCCAAATCCCCACCCACCAATTGACATTTGAACAAACAAGCTGTTGGGCCAAAGACAGGAAACCCATTTCACAATAATTTAATTATTACCCTTATATTCAGTTTTAAAATATATCCAATAATTTAATTTTGTTATATTCATGTTAAACAATAATTTACATAAATTTTTTATTTATTCTTATAAAATACTGTAATAAATAAAATAAATATTTAGCAATATCTCTTTACCATCAATTAATACACGGGAGGCTTGGACACATTTCTACATTTGGCAAAATACTTAAATGAGTAACATAATTGTGAGCCTCAATCAAGCTAAGCTAGATTAATGTTTGTGACTCAGGTTCGAATCATTATCTTCAAATACCACTAATTATTATTTTTAAAGGTATATATATGCAACTAATTAATTCTAAATGTTAATAGTTTTGTGTGTGTGTGTATATATATTAATCATATAACACTGAATAATTGACATAAATCAACTCAAATTTCTAAAAAGTTTAAAGTTTGTTATGCATTTCAATCATATAACACTGAATAATTGACATAAAATAACTCAAATTTCTAAACACAAAAGCCATTTAGCAAGATAAAAGAAACCAGAATGAGAGCTTTATTATAGATTTCTTCGACGAATACATATAGGAGACCTACAAAATGGAAGATAAATAAAACACAGAAACAAGCAAATAGTAGAAAAAGCAAATAAAGAAACTTTAGTATGTTTCCTAGCCATTTGGAAGCTAAATATTTAGCTTCTTATTTTAATACTTCACGTCTAATTACTAACTAATTAACCACTTTCTTAACTTTTAAAAAGTACTGTAACATTGATAATTAGATGTATCTAACTTGTATTATACTTTGCTCTCATTCATATTTTCAAACAAGTTCTTCCATAATCCTCCGTTGGCTTTTGCTCTGATATTACTTTCTGACTTTACTTTGATACCACTTTGTTGGAAATAGTGGCCTAGATACACACACAATACTATAATATTTAGAAGAAAATGATATGGAGGAATACTTGGAAAATTATTTTTTATTCCACTTTTACTATTATTTGACTAGAGTACATGAATATATAGGCCACATGAACATAGGTGTAACAATTACATTTAAGTGCCCAATTACTCACACTAACATAACTTTTAGGCTTAACTCCTACTACTCCAACTAACATGGTATTTAGGAGGTTTAATTCCCACTAACATAACCATTTTGACTTAACTTCCATGACCCTTAGTTTTACATAACCTTTATCATCACACTAACTCTCATATACTAATTCTCATTAAGATAATTTACTACCCACTAACATGCTAAATGCCCACATACACTATGTAAGACAAATACTTAAAATGATTAATTAAATATTAAAATCAAGTTTATTTTTTAACACCCCCCTTTAAACTTGATTTTATACCTTTAAAACCCTTCTTATTAATCTTGGGAGCTCGATCAAAGGTTTGATGGTTGATCTTCAATTCGACCTCCTTCAATAGCTTCATTCTTCTTGGCCATTTCCATTGATGTGTAGGGCTTGTGAAACTTCTTCAAATGCTTGAATAATGCCCTCTTATGATCAACATTTATCTTTTTCACATGGGCGCAACATTCATTTTCTCTCTTCTTGAATTCTTAAAACTTCTTGAACTTCTTATGTGCTTCTTTTTTGAAATCAAAAAATAACTCCATATTCACCTAACTTGTGTCAATTACAAAATTCTCTAAACCATTTTTCAAAATATAATTTGAGAAATTATTATCATCTTGAGCTTCAATCTCATACTTTGTTAGAATAACTTTCTCCAAGAAAAGTTCATCATTCTCCACAACATGAACACAATTATCATAATATTTGATTTCTTTTCTCAATTGGGATAAATAAGAAGAAATCAAAATTTTATCAAATAAGTTATATCTAACTTCTTTGAAATCGGAATTTGGAACCATACCTGAAATTGTTAACTCACTAATTTCATCAACTTTTGTCTCTTCTTTAGCACCTTCTTCTTCTTTAATTTCTCTTTCCACTTCAATCTCCTCCACTTTTTCAATCTTTTCTTCAACACCTTTCTTTATTTTTTCCTTATTCACCATTTCACTTTGGCCTTCAACTTTTGAATCTTTAATTTCTTCAATTTCATTTGTGTTGTACACCTCTTCATTCTGCACAAATTTTGCTTCTAAACTTTCATAATCAGCCTTCGTAAATTCATCATCCTCAAAGCATTATACCCAATACTCCATGGGTAGTGATTCACTTCTATGATTGGAAACGATGGTCTCGAGCATCTTCCAAACACAACTTGGAGTTTTGGATTCTCCAAAATACACCCAAATTTCTTGATGTATTGCTTTCTACAACACTACCAATGCCTTTTCTTCTTTCTTTTCTCGAAGCTTATTGGACATGCCATTCTTTGGCTCTAATCCAACAACATTCCACAAATCACATGCTTTGAGGTATGAAGTCATGATGATTCTCATTCTCTTGTAATTAGAGAACATCATATTCTCACTAAGAAAATATATTTTCCCTTCTTCTTCATCATCGAGGAGAAATATGCTTTCCTTAAAATGTTGGACCATCTAGGATCAACTTCGTCACGCCTTTAGGATCGTCTAGTGTCTGAATATGAAATCTGGCTCTGATACCACTTTGTTGGCTTTTACTCTGATACCACTTTCTGACTTTATTCTGATACCACTTTGTTAGAAATAGTGGCCTAGTTACACACACAACACTATAATATTTGGAAGAGAATGATATGAAGGAATACTTGGAAAATTATTTGTATTCCATTTCTATTATTATTTGACTAGAGTACATGAATATATAGGCCACATGAACATAGGTGTAACAATTACATTTAAGTGCCCAATTACTCACACTAACATAACTTTTGGGCTTAACTCCCACTACTCCCACTAACATGGTATTTATGAGGTTTAATTCCCACTAACATAATCATTTAGACTTAACTCCCATGACCCTTGGTTTTACATAACCTTCATCATCACACTAACTCTCATATACTAATTCTCATTAAGATAATTTACTACCCACTAACATGTTAAATGCCCTCATACACTATGTAAGATAAATACTTAAAATGATGAATTAAATACTAAAATTAAGTTTATTTTTCAACATCTTCAAGAAGCGGTTTGCAAAAGCTGCAGAGCTTCACTAGTTGGTAATTTGGTGGAGATCCGGAGACTCATATATTCTCGAAAAGTGAAAGGAATAAAGAGACGGGAATGTTCAGTGTCCACCAGTTCAAGTGGTGCTTCCATTTTCCCCTCCTTTGGTCCTAACACAAAGCAAGCCATTGATGTTCGTATTTTTCCATCGTTGCATTGTACCCTATGATTCACATTACAAAATCTACCGTTGCTCCATGCCTGTTCACATCATTAGACATTGAAAATGTAAATATTTGTATTACAACATTTGACACTATATGTATAACATATTATATCGAATTGAATTATTATCAGATCATATATATTACTGTATTACATGTCTAGTTTACTTAGCTAATAAATTATCAGAGATTCAGATTATTAGTGTATTATCAGATCCATATACAAAAGAAAACATGTGTGCATTTTGCATTGGAGCTATTAATTGTTGCACCCCGCATGAAGAGAGACATTTTCTTGTGATCCAAACATAAACAAATTGGTTGGCCATTTTACTAACCATGCCAAGGTCTCCAACATTGACAAGTAAGGTTCCTGGCGTTGGATCAATGGGGAAAAGCACACCAGACTTGTTGTCCACAGCTTTCAGACCATTAATCATTTCGTCGTCATGTACTACTGTAGGAAATCCAGCGTCTGAGTGCATCAGAGCTCCAGTTAATCCTACAGTTTGAGGACTGAAATGGTATTTGTTTAATCTAAGTTGGCATTGCCATCCCTTGAACAAATCACTACAGAACCCCATACTCTCTCCTAGCCTACTTCCAATTGTTATGGCCAACTCATGTATAGCTTCAATGTACCACATTATTGTCTCCCTATAAAAATACATGCAAGAAATCCAAATCAGGCAACTACATATGCTAACAAAGGAAAATAAATCTATTGTCAGGAAGCTTGTTTAAGTTCATATATTGACATCTTAAGTTTATAGATCATGTATTCTTTACTCTCTAATGTAAAACTTTCAGGTTGTTCCATATAGACTTCCTCTTTCTAAACTCCCATTCAGAAAATCAATCAAAATCAAATTCTTGCAGACAGAGTCATCCGGAATAGCAGCTTTCCTTTTTGAGATCGTCTTAATATTATTCCTTGTGGTTTTTTTATAATCTATTCATTGATGACAATCTCATCATGAAGTTGTTAATCATTTAATTGTTCTTCGTTGTTATACGGTTCAACAACTGAAGGAACAATTATTTCTTTAGAAGTTATAAGTAAAGAGATTTGTACCCTAACTTCTGGAATGATCACATTCTTATTTTTATCACTCCCACACTGATTTCACCATTCTCAATGAATTTGACATTACCGATTTCAATAATTATCGTACTATGTTTAGGATAGTAAAGCTTGTACTCTTTATATGACTTAACATCCACAACATTATGGGTAACGAGGAATTACTTAACATACTCCTAACCATATCCATAAGAGTACAATTACTCCTTTCCGCTACACGTTTCTGCTGTGGCATACCTGACACAGTGTATTGAGCACAAATGCCATGCATTCCAAGGAATTTAGCAAACGGTTAGCATATGAACCCCGTTTCATTATACTTTCCATAATATTCACCACCTCTATATGATCTTATGATTTTCACTTTTCTATCTAGTTGTTTTTTAACCCCGTTTATACTTCAAGAGTACTCACTACTTAAGATTTTTCATGCAACAAATAGATATATCCATTATGTGAAAAATTAACTATAAAAGCAATAAAATACTTTTCTTCACCAAAATATGGAACATCAAAAGGTTTACAAATGTCTGTATGAATAATTTCAGGAAGTTCTGTACTTCATGTGGCTCATTTCTTTGTGTGTTTGGTTTGTTTACCCTTACTACATTCTACACACACACCAAAATCAGTAAAGTTTAGATACAAAAGAATCACATCATTTACTAATTTTCCTAACCTTTTACTGAATATTATCCAGTCTTTTATACCACAAGATATATGAATTTTCATTAATTGAGTTACACTTAATTATAACATTATGATGTAAGGTCAAAAGGGTTTTAATAAATAAACTATCAAGTTTGAATTTACAGAAATCATCAACAATAATACTATAACTCACAAATTAGAATTTCTTGAATAAACATCATTATCAAACTTAAAGAAAAAAATCATTAATATAATGTTTTGAAATAAAATCAAATTAAGAGAAATTGAAGAAATATAAAAGTTTAAAACAATTTAAATAAAATCCATTGTCTAAGACTAAACAAAATATTTCAATGGTTTCAACAAAACTTTTTCCCAATTCTCATAAATAAGAAATTCTCATTTGAATTTATGGTTTAGGGCATAAGAAATCTTTGCATCTATTAGAAACATAAATATTAGTACTTAAGTCAACTTATCATGTAGTAGAAAGAATTTCAACAAGTAATTTGAAATATACAAAAACCAAAAGCTTACAATTATTTTTCGAATCATTCTTTATATTTCATGTAATCTTTCTAAAAGTATTCAATACATAAATGACACTTTTTCATTATTACATTCATTTGTTTTAGTAGATTGACCTAAATCTTTTAATTTTGGGTGTTGCTCACTTAATGCCTTTTCAAGCTTATTCCCAAATTTCTTTATCACTTCTTGAGTCATCAGACGAACATAATGATTACCTTGCTACTTAAACCTTGTCTCCTCCTAAATTAACATAATGGTCAATTCTTTCACTTTTCACTTGTCTTAATAGTATTAATTTGAAATGACCCATATTCAGTAGACAAGAAATTGAGAATAAATTGAACGACAAAATTTTCATCTACAATCATCCCTAAGGTTCTTAATTTTACAGCAAAATTAGTCATCTCAAAAATATGTTCATACATGAGTATCAACAAAAATGTATAGTAGTGATATCAATTAATAACTTTCGTTTTAGATATTTATCTACAATACGAAAACATTCTTATAGTCAATTATTCCTTAACACTATCACTATGGGGTACAATTATTCGCATAACCATAATACTTAATCTGTTCGATCTCTCCGAAATTTTGAACTTAACTTACTTATTCCGTTATGAGAAGTTAATCCTATTGAAAAGCAGAATAGATGTAGCATGCGAATTAAGGGATGTAATAAAACAAACATAATAAGATAAAATACTAACAACAATAATGCTTTGAGTTCATAACATGTATATATAACATAAAATATAAATACAATGTATAACTATAGTATCCATTTGGGTGGCAACTATAAAATACTAATAATAATGCTTATTTGTATTTATATGTATACCTTTATTGGTGATACATTTTTTAATTAAACAGATAAATTATATTTGGATATTCTATATTTAACTAATTAAAAAATACATGTAATCCCTTAATTTTCATTTAATCACTTGAAAAACAATTCCCTTTGGAGAATTATTTCTCATAATTAAATAAACTAAATACTCATGGATATCAAAAAAAATCATAAGCATCATAATTCATGAAATATTGTAATTATGTTTACCACTAAAATTAATATTCATAAACCATTATGATTGGGTCACTTTGGTAGCTACCAACCTTTACATAATATGAATATTGAACTAGTTTGTAACTAATTCATCATTAGTTATGTCTACTACTAAAATTAATATTCATCAATCATTATGGTTATGCCACTTTGGTAGCTACTAACTCTCACATAATATGAATATTAAATTAGATAGTGATTGATTCATCATTAATTTACCCATTTAACATTATACACGCATACTCATATTGATCAATCCAAATTTAGGTAGGTTCGATCCAAGAAACTTAAAAGTCCAAAAATTAAATAAAAATATCAGTTTACTTTATATACATAACAAAATATATTATTTTTATTTTCGAACTTAAAGATCATAATTGAATCAATTTAAAATTGATTCTCAAATTTGTATGTATGTATGGGTACAAAACAATAATTATTTGCATATCCAATAACATTAAATTAAATTTGTAGACTCACGTATAATTCTAAAAATACAAATTTCTTTAATAAAATAAATAAATACACATACTTTATTTATTTAATATTTTATTAATTTTTAGATAATTAATAAAATATAATCTGTAATTAATAATAATAATTGATATGCAAATTGATTTCATGAAAACAGTAACAAAAAAAATAGCCACTAAAAGTTTTCAAATCAAATTGTTATTCGCATCATGCACTGAAATAAAAAGCAAATGCATGAATTGACATATTGTTTGTCTTATTATTTTACATATGCATACACGTGTCATTAATTAACTTTTAAGCAATTCAATTATGTTCGGAAATCAAGGTTTCTAAACCCAAATAACACACTGATCCAAAATATTTGGAGTACTAAAATTTTTCATATAATATATAAACAGATATATATATATATATATATATATATATATATATATATATATATATATATACATGTGCGCCGATTCTATAAAATTAAAGCATACAATTATTTAATTTTATTTTAAACTTATGCAACATTAATGAAAAAATAATAAGTTTATAAACCGTAAGCTCTGATACTACATGTAAACTATAATTTATTCATGCAAACTATTCATCACAAATAAACATGAATCTCAAATCTTAGAACTTCATTATTCTTACATACCTATAATGCATAAATAAATATAGTTAGATATAAATATCTCGATCTGTGAATGCAAATATCGTAGAGATCAAGTCCAATATCGAGATCCTTTCTGCGGAACGAATAACGTGATAAACTGCAATAGCCAAAGCGTGGAAACCGATTTCTTCCTCTTGGCCTTTTGCATACATAAACATTATGCTTGTTGTTTTCATTAGCATACATAACTGATGGGAATATGTACTTTTATAAAGACAGAGAGAGGACCAGTTTTCCTTTTAGTAACTTTAATTCCACTTTCTATCAAAATAAGGAATAAATAGGAAAACACTTCTCTAATAATTACCAAAAAGGCAATTAATAAGTTTACTAAATAATATAATATTAATCTGATATCTATTTTATTTAACCACCAAAATAATAGAAGTAAATCACATGTCCAAATCATGTGTGCCACAAATATAAGAAAATATCTTACATAGTGCACTTAAGTAATATTTGTATGGTGCATATCAACTCATAACCATATAAAACACTCTCAATTTTAAAAAAATATGCAAATAAGTTACACTCCTTAATTTCAAATATAACATCATAATATATATATATATATATATATATATATATATCAAATTATTTGTTTTAATAAAAATGGGCATTATAGATGGTGGTCTTGCAAATCCGATGGCCCTATACACGTTCCGATTTGAATGGAATGTCTTGACTTTTTACCCAATTGTAATGATGGGAGAAAATTTTGAAAACGATCGCACGTAATTCTATGCTCTCCCAACTAAATAACTGAACAATATTTCTCAATAGCACACAACTGCTCTGTGCATTATACCAAACAGCCTAGACACATAGTCATAACATTAATTTCCAACAGTGTACAATTACCACTGCACTATGAAATAGTTGATTTTGAACTTCTAGATTGACATGAGTTTGTTGACCAGCCTTAGTAATTACGTATTCCCCATTAATAATTACTTTTATCCTTGCTTTTGAAAAGTTTCAAAAGAATTTTAGACTATAAGATTTTTTCCGAAGTTTATTTATTTATTATTATTATTTTAATGAATAGAAGATAACCTAACTAGGTACACCTGACGACCTCATCCCTTACATTAACCGTGTCCTAATATTAAATAATTAAATTTGAAATCTTGAGTATCAGTAATGTTCAATACACGACACATAAGCAATCTCGTTATATTAATCGACATTAAGGAGACTGAGATATATATGTTTGAAAATTGCAGTTTTGAGCAGCAAAACTCTCATTATCGATCGTCACCTTTTTTTTTTTTTTTTTTTGTTGTTGTTGTTGTTGTTGTTGTTAAATATTATAGTTTTCAACTACCTGAAAAGAATTTGATGGCCGACTTTCATCTGCATTAACATTCTACGAATATTGGTCATAAACTGTAACATATAATCAAAACAAGAACCTACCATTCATGTGATGTCACTACACAAAGCAGCCATGACTAAGAAGTAAAACAAAACCTTCAACGAGGACCAAGAAATTTATATATATATATATATATATATATATATATATATATATATATATATATATATTCTTAAGTGAGGAAGAAATAATTCTTTTGACTCTGAAAATCAATGGTGATGTGCTATCACACATGTCAATAAAATGATATCAGAAACTCTATTTTCTTTTGAAAGGATGATCTGGAAGGTCAAGAGGAGGTTTAATTTGCTCAACAACCTAATGAAGAATTCACATGGAAACCATTTTCTATACAAGCCAACGCAACCCATTCCCATCTAGAGCGATATAAAGTGGGTAGCAGCAATATTGTAGAGTAGCTTTCATCAAATTACGTAAATTAATGCAATAAAAAAAATTGGCATTAGCAGTAACAATCTAACTTATACATTTAAAATATGTTAGGCATGAGCGCCTGAGTGATTCGAGTCTCACTGTCTCACATGATTTTGATAGGTTCGAAGTTTCCTAATAGTTTCTCTACCTTCTACTTCCACTCAGGCCTCTCCTTTTAGAATAAGAAAGGATATTTTTTTTTTTTTTTTTTTTTTCTTTTTCTTTTTTTGTGAATGTATTTGGACGGACAAACACAAGAAACTAAGAACAAAAATTGTTATAGAAAATAAACATATCATATACATGTAAAGAATACAAAGATTTACACAGTTCATTACAGTTCATTACAGAGCTATTTCACAATTAATAACAGGACAAAAAACATGAGATTACTAATTTTAGTCTCCAAATTCTAACTCTTGCTTTCACTCTCTTTCCTATGATTTTCACTCACTCAAAATTCTAAAATACCCATGATAGATTATTATAAGAGAGTTCTAAATATGCTAATTGAAGTAGTTTTTCTCACAACTTTCTTCGTTCTTATTGATTTAAGATAGTGGTACAGTATCACATTAATTAATAAAGAAATATAGAGTCAACTTAATTAATTTAATTTTTTCCTGAAGAAGCAACAATAGTTGCATTCCAATAGCCCAACTAACAAGACTAAGAAACAAGCAACAATTGGCCCAGCCCAGGAGGAATTAAGCCCAAGGCCCATCCCCAATTCAACCGCCAATTTTAAATTGCAATTGCAGTTAGGGCATAACAGTCCGTTTAGGTTTCGCTGACGCTTCTTCTTTGCTGTGCCACAGTTGTCGTAAGCATCAAATTTCTTCATCTGGAGGTCGAAGGCATGAATGAAGCAGGGATATCCCATTCATGTATTAACTTAGCTCTCTCAGGTAACTCCTCTAAGCTTCTTTGGTGTCAACCACACCCAATTCACTACTCTCATGCCCATCTTATAATATTAACTGAAACATTAAGGTTATTAGACTTACTGTTGCATTGATTTCAATGTTTCATTGACCTTAAAGAATTTTACATTAAGGAATTGTTGATGTTACCCAAACATTGTCAAGCTTAATTTCTTAGGAAAGCATATATAGACTCTCATTCCACTATTTGGCCATCAGATGTGCTTAAAATAGGGAATCACAGAGTGATTGTGTGTGTGACAATTGGGATGAATATTATTTATTTTGATAAATAAGCTATTTATTCGAAGAGAAACCACAGTACAGGATTAAGAGGGGCATTCCCCAATACTACAAGCAAACTAGAACAACAAACCATCTGAAGGAATCAAACATTCCAAAATGGAAGGTATCTAACAGTATGACTGTCGAATCCAGAAGCAGGGAAAGACAACATTTCGAGTTATTTTTGAAGGTATCTAACAGTATGACTATTGAATCTAGAAGCAGGGAAAGACAACATTTCGAGTCTAATAGAGTTGTAGAATTGCAGGGTGTAATACAGAGCACTCTTCCAAACAAGAAATATTAAATTCTTGTTTCTATATTTTATGTAAAATCATGTGAGCACCATGTTGGGGGTCTAGGGATGCAATATAGGAAGGAGCGTGTTCATAAGATGGAGAAAGCTCAAATGAGAAGTGCTTTACAATCATAGCTATAGCCATCTTTGCCTCTAACATTGCAAAGTTATACCCAATGCATATTCGGGGGCCCGAGCCAAATGCCAAGAAAGAGCCTTGGTTTTTTGTTGCCTTTGCAACCCCCTCCGAAAATCTCTCTGGTTTGAACTCTTCTGCATCTTCACCCCAAATTTCATTATCATGATGAACTAGGAGTAAGGGGCACAACACCTGCACTCCAGGAGGTAGAGTCATATCACCTAGTTTTGTTTCTCTGCAAGTAACTCGGGTAACCATAGATGAAGGAGTGTATAATCTAAGAACCTCATTCAAAATCATTGTTACCTGCAATCAATAAATCTTGGAAATTATCAATTGTGTGAATATGTAATATGAGTTATACCATGCATAAATGATGTTTGTCTATGTAAGAAATAGGTAAGATAACATGTAAATGTAGTACAATATTTATGGTGAAAAAAAATTATGCCATACAAAATTTGGCAATCTGAACTCCAGAAATGAATCTGTAGAAAACACTTACAATTTTAAGGCGATTTAATCCATCATAGTCTGGTTCATTGTTCCCGAAAACATGCTGAACCTCCTCTCTTGCGCGCACTTGCCAGTTTGGGTGCATGCCCAACATAACCATTGTCCACACTAGCAAATCTGCGGTGTTCTCTTGGCCAGCAAAATAGAATAGCTTGCACTCATCGATGATCTCGTCAATACTCATTCCTGCATCCTTGTTGCTTTGTTCTTTAATTTCATTCTGATTGGATTTAAGCATCACACCCAATAAATCACTGTCACTAACTTCTCCTAATCTCTCCCTTTTATTGATTATACCCCTCACAAGACCTTGCACTTCCACATAAATTTCCTTCATTTTCCTCATTCTCTTAGTTGGTAGAAACCTATACATGAACAATTAAAGTCAATTGCACCAAAATGAAGTAAACAAGGAGTATGCAAATTATCACTTAATTGTACCATTTGTAAATCTTACCTGTCATACAGCAGCATGATATTCAATTATAATTTTTTCATAACTAAATTTAAAGCAATACCAGTTTAATCTTCCAGTTTGAAAGTATTAATTGAACCGTGTGCATGATATTTTTTATTTACCTCCATCCTGGAATGTAAAATGACTGAAGAACATCATGCGCAAGTTCACATTGTTCTCTTTGGAGTTCGAATATCCTTCCACCTTCTTCATAGCTGCTACCAAATGCCGTTCGAGAAATGACATCACAGGATAAATTTAGAAGATGGGGCCAAACATCCAATTCACATGAACTCTTTTCTGAAACCAGCTTCTCCCATTTAATCATCATCTCGCTACAACTCAAATACATTGCAGGTAGTAATTCCTGAAAATACAAAATACACAGTAGTAACATGGGAAAGAAAAAGAGAACCTACTTTCAATATAATACTACAGGTCAAAATTAGGCTTCACACTCATTGTGTGTCTTAGGATCATGTTATTGTTTTTTAAGAGAATTTGAAAAATATCATTTGGAGGTTAGTTCAAAAAAAAAAAAAAATTGTCCTGTTGATGTTAAGAACAGAATATGAAATTAATAGTTACCTTCAACTTCTCTAGATAGAAAGCTGGGTTGAGAATCTTTCTATGCTTAGCCCATTTCTCATCCTCATGGCCTGCGATGCCAGTCACTAGCAACTTGGAAATTGGATTGTGCTTTACCTTGTGGAAAATATCATTCCTAAGCAAGACCTCTTTAATTAATTTGGGGTCCATTATGTGAACCCTAGGAATGGGGCCAACCCATGAAAAAGACCTTTTACCTGTAATTTTTTGTAATTATGTGTGAGATTATTAGAAGAACATATAAGCTAAGTAAACTGCAACTTTAATATTTAAATCATCTAACACGTTCCTTCATGTGTGGCCTTCTGTCCAACACGCAGTAGCGGAGCCAAAAATCTTAATTTGGGTGGTCCAAATTATAAAAAGGAAAAAATGGGGAAAAAACAAAATCACTAGTCCAGTACAACAGTGAGGGAGGCCTAATTAGTACTATGTAATTTAAATTTTATAAAGCTAACATATTATAATTTATTTATAATATTATTCCTATTAATATATATTAAGGAAAATACAATAAAAAAAATGAACCTAAAAAGTAAGAAAGGAGGAAGCATTAAGTAACAGGTAAAAGAAGTAAAAGAAAAAACATTCTTCAAGAATTAAAATTTATTCAACAATTGTTTCAATATTTAAAAAAAAAAAATTGACCAAAAATATTGTTGTTGGTATTCTTATAATGTTGGTATCACAATATTTAATTTTTACTACTACCCCTAATAGATATTGGGTCAAATGCAGAAAACATTCCCATGGTATGTTTATAGTGCATATCACACATCTCATATGCAGAAAACACCCCTAAAGTTTCAATTTGGTGTAAATAGGTCCCTCCTGACACATTTAAGTTATAGTTTGACTAAATTGCCCTTATATACATGTTTTTTACATGTTATTTAAAAATGCATCATATTCTGAAATGACGAAAATGGTCATTTAGTACACAAGGGGTGTGATACGCACTGTAAGTATATTATTGGGATGTTTTATGTACTTTATAAACTATTGTTGTTTTGAATCTTTTGTTCTTAAAAGTTAGATTTAATTGAAAAACGTAGTTTTATCGCGATTTGAATAGTATAATGACGGTAGGTGATTGAACACCCATTTGTTTGGTTTTTTTTTTTTTTTTTTTTTTTTACCTATAAAGATTGAATACCCATTTTTTGCTATGTAAATAATAACATATACATATATATATGAGTGTGTCTGTGTGTGAAAATTTATTACAAATTCTAAAGTTTTAAAAAATTAAATTTATGTTGTTTATATATAATGAATAAGTATCTTTAATTTAATTTTTTAATTATATATTTAATGAAAACTGATAAATATACTAAAATTTAATTGGGAATAATTTTTTTCTTTTTTATTATTATAAAAGGAATTGAAGTTTTCATTCCATATGAGGTACTTTCTCTACATTAATCTGACATATATATATATATATATATATATATATATATGTGTGTGTGTGTGAAAATTTATTACAAATTCTAAAGTTTTAAAAAATTAAATTTATGTTGTTTATATATAATGAATAAGTATCTTTAATTTAATTTTTTAATTATATATTTAATGAAAACTGATAACTATACTAAAATTTAATTGGGAATAATTTTTTTCTTTTTTATTATTATAAAAGGAATTGAAGTTTTCATTCCATATGAGGTACTTTCTCTACATTGATCTGACATATATATATATATATATATATATATATATATATATTAAGAGAGATAATATACTGTTAGCGGAAATTTATAGAGAATTTTTTTTTTTTTTTAAAAGGTGAGAGAAATTCCTTAAAAGTGGGTAAAATATAGTTAATGTGCACATTACACCCCTATATTATGAGATTATTAGCATACACACCCCCTTAGGCATTTTCAGAATAGTAAAAGGGCAAAATGGGTATTACAACAAAATTTTATGTCAAATTTTTTATTGAGGGAGTGTTTTGCACAATTTTAAAAGAATATGAGTGTTTTTAGCACACTTTTTCAAATAGGGATGAAAGTGCTAAGCAAAGTATACATTAGGATGCTTTCTGCAGTTGACCCAATATATATCATACTCATGTGTATGTTGATATAAATAAAACAATGATATATTGCAGTAAAATCTATTGATAATGAACTTATTTTTTTATTTTACAAGGTTTGAACTTCTCCAAATACAAATTTTAATATGACGCACGTTATATTTATTTCTAAATTCATAGTGATTGGTGCACTAAATAAATGTTTTTAAATTTATGGTTTAAAATTTTTTGGGTGGCCCCTCTGTAGCTCTGCCGCTGCCAACCAACACATATTTCAATTTTAATTATTAGAGTGACGGCTAAATTTGAACTCAAGAAATTTGATTTTGATGCCATTTTTACCACCATATATTTTAAAAGCTTAAACTATTAATATTTAAATCCTCCAACTTACAGTAATGCTACCAAAAATGAAGCTTAGTACTGAGAGTAACAAGTGTCACGACGATCAGAATCATGTCAATACGTACCATACTTCCTGAATGATTGATGGTAGAATGGTAGAGCATGGGGAGTAATATCATCGGACAAGTTGATGGATGTACTTCTTGCTTCTTTCACCATGGTGTAAATTTCTTTGGAGTCTCCATAGAAAAGCCGGTATGGATTTCCCCTGAGACCTTGCTGTCTCAGCAGTCTCTCTAGCTTTTTTGGTCTCAACCACAACCAGTTTAGAACTCTCCCTGTGCATGATAGAAAAGCAACCAAAACAAAGGAGATCACAATTGAGTTAAGTGTTACTTCCATTTTCAATGGAAAAAGATGTTTTTTGGAAATAGTTTGTGTGATCTTGTTGATGGTAAATCAGCTTATTCAGGAGGGAGCCTAGAATTATTTTTATAGCCTTTTTGGTGGAATTTTCAAAGGGATTAGGTGACAGGTCCTCAGCTAGTGTTTTCTTAAGCAGGCTGCTTCAATTTGCATTTTTTCTATAGCGATAAAGTAGGTCTTATTATTTTTCAAATAAAGTTGATTTTCTCATTGACAAACTAAACATGGTTATAGCTATGACGGGATCATTGGAATATATTTCTTACTTACTTCTAGAATCTCTCCTATGCTGGAGTAATTCAATCCCTAAAAGTAAGAGATTACATCAGCTATTACATCTGCAAAAGTTCTGTAGTGGAGAACTAAAGGAGATGTAATAAACAGGTTTGTTATCATTATTATTCTAAGGTAACAATTGAAAATTTAACAAAACAAGAATTTTTATTGATAAAAAAACACAAACAAACAAATTATTAAAATAAAATTTTAGATTCTTCAATCATCCTTATTTGTTGATATTCAAAATTTCAAATGAAATTTTTGTTCTGGATTTTGTAAAAATTAATTTCTTATTATAAAAGCATTACAATAAAAATAAATAATAAAAAAAAATGATGGAAAGAATCATGTATGAGATGAAATTTTAGGATGATAAGATTATGGAAAGAATCGTGATTGAGTTGGAAAGATTTTAAGATAGTCACGTTATAAAAAGAACTGTGTTTTGTAATACGCCTAATTTTAAAAGGATAGTCTCAGTATTTATTTATTTGTTTTAATTGTATTTTTAATTATTTAATTAATTATTTGACTAATTGCTTATGTGTTTAATTGAATTAGGTATTACTTGATTATTTTATTATGTGTCTATGTATTATTTGTATTTGTCTATGTATTAATTGTTTAATTAGATTATGTGCTTAAATGGTGTTTTGATTAATTGTAAATTAAATGTTTTCGTTTCTTTTATTATTTTATTTTATTTTTCTTTTATGGTTATGATTAGTAGTAATGGGCCAACTAATTGGGTTCTATAGACTACTTGGATAGGAGGTTGGATATATATAGATTATTACCCATGGATAGTGTATGTATATATATAGATATATATTATATACATATAGAAAATGGAAAGTAATTTAATTACTTTCATGGTAACTTGGGTAGTAATATTTAATCTGATGTATATATTTTATATTTAAATAATAAAAATATACATAGATTTGATACGTGTTATGTTTTAAGTTACTTTATAATATTATGGTAACTTAAGTATTATTGGATAATCCATTAATAAATAATGGAATGTGTATAATTTATTATTCACGTGATATATTCCAGAAAGAGAGAGTTAGAGAAGGAAGGAAGAATGAGAAAAACTCTGTAGAGAGAAGATCAAGGAAGAAGAAGTTTAACTTTCGATCCGAAAGTTTAAGGCAAGTTCTTCTTTTATCTCTTTCCCTTTGATTCGTGTTTCTATGCATGCCTAGGAAATTCCAGGATTTATTAAACACATAAAATTAAATAATTATGCATATTTAATTGGATTAGAACATAGGTTTTATGAAATTGGTTCATATCTGCTCTTGTGTTATGAATTGATAAATGCATGATTTTGATTTGATTTCCAGTGTGAATTTTTATATGTTTACATTATGTATTTTTTCATATCTGTGGAATGATGGAACGTAGAAACATGCCTAGGATTCCTGAACATTAAATAGGAACTAGGTTTGGGTTTAAATAAATTTAAATAGACTCAATCATAATGATGCTTGCTATTTGAATGTTTTAAACAAACGAATGAATTTAATCTTTTAATATGTTTAAGCAATTGAGATTAAATGTGTAGGATGAATTGGATACGGAGAATACTTATTTGACGGTATAATAAAATATCATCATGTATAAGATTCAGTTTGTGTAGGACATATGATATAGGAAGCTTAAAATAAATAATAAGTCATTCCTATTTTGTGATAACTTGATATCATATTATCATAGTTATTTCTGAATTATTTGATATATTTCCTTAATCGTTACATCAATTGTTAGATTGTGTGATTTAATGCACCAGTATGGGACGGTGGCATTTTAGGAACGGATTAACTTATCAGTTAAGTCCTACCTATTTTATATAAGGGAATGAATTAACTAAAATGTTAAGTCCTACTTATATTCAAGTCAGGTCAGCTGAACAAGTTGAATGACTTATGGAGGATTAATTTATACTGAATAGGATGGTTACTAAATTATATATATATAAGTATGGTGCCATGATATGAGTTTGAGTCTCAGGATCAGTGATTAGGGTGCGTATATTGCCAGGGATGTGTAGCTAGATATAGTGTAGTTGTGTACCCTGGTAG